CACGCCCCAGGGCGAGCTGCGGATCAGCGTGCTGCCTGCCTACCTGTCCTACGACGCCCCCTGGCCCGTCCGCAAGATCCCCCTGCGCTGCACGGCCCACTACGTGGCCTACCACGTGGAGTCCAAGGTCAGCCCCGCCCCGCGCGGGGGTGGGGGCGGTGCGTGTGTGAGGGGCCGCGTGTGCACGCGGGTGACCCGTCTGGCCTCCCAGGTGTACGCCGTGGCCACCAGCACCAACACACCCTGCACGCGCATCCCGCGCATGACCGGCGAGGAGAAGGAGTTCGAGACCATCGAGAGAGGTGAGAGCCGCGGCCGCTGGCCCCGGCGGCTGCCCTGCCCTGCCCAGCCCGTGACCGCGGCCCTGTCCCCGCAGACGATCGCTACGTCCACCCGCAGCAGGAGGCCTTCTCCATCCAGCTCATCTCCCCGGTCAGCTGGGAGGCCATCCCCAACGCCAGGTGAGGCCGCGGCGCGGGCCCGGTGCAGCCTGGCCGCGTCTGCCGGCCGAGCCTGACCTGTGCCCGCAGGATCGAGCTGGAGGAGTGGGAGCACGTCACCTGCATGAAGACGGTGTCCCTGCGCAGCGAGGAGACCGTGTCCGGCCTCAAGGGCTACGTGGCGGCTGGGACCTGCCTGATGCAGGGCGAGGAGGTCACCTGCCGCGGGCGGGTGAGTGGGCGGGCGCCGGGCGGGGGGCGGGGCGCCGGCCCCTGGGGCTGTCACCCACCACCCCCCACCCTGCAGATCTTGATCATGGATGTGATCGAGGTGGTGCCCGAGCCCGGCCAGCCCCTGACCAAGAACAAGTTCAAGGTCCTGTATGAGAAGGAGCAGAAGGGCCCCGTGACAGCGCTGTGTCACTGCAACGGCCACCTGGTGTCGGCCATTGGCCAGAAGGTAGCTGTGGGGCCTGGGGGGGCGCCCCGCCCCTTCCGCCCCGCCCCCGCTCAGGCCCCTTCCGCCCCAGATCTTCCTGTGGAGCCTGCGGGCCAGCGAGCTGACGGGCATGGCCTTCATCGACACGCAGCTGTACATCCACCAGATGATCAGCGTGAAGAACTTCATCCTGGCGGCCGACGTCATGAAGAGCATCTCGCTGCTGCGCTACCAGGAGGAGAGCA